CGTGGAATGCGTGAACAGTGAGTTGGAGTTGTTCCTCGGTTTTGGCGACTGGGACCAGATTACCGGCTGTCTCGATCCAGTAAGGATGATCGTCTAAAACCTGTCCAGAATGAAAAACAAAGTTATGAATTTTGCACAAGGCGAACGTTAAAAGACGATTAGTTCACGGGTGTATGATGGGCAGTCTGATTACAAAAAATAGTTGAAACTGTTCAAACGAAACCTGAAACAGAGAGACAGAAACTGATTGAACAAAGCGTTCGGTATCGGATGGGATGTTGGAAGGTGAACGCCAATTGTCAGTCAATTTAGTGCAATGGCTAGATGAGGTGGTGTTTGGGAGGAGATCACATCACGAATAGCGAAAGCTAGAGCAGCTTTTGACAACCTGCGACATCTGTGGCACCGCCATGACATTCGGCTGTCCCTTAAGTTTAGTTTTTACAACCATTAACCATGCATATTCGTGCGCCGGTTTTGCTTACTGTCTTTTGGTGCCCCACTTGAAGAAAAGAGCAGAATCAAGATTGGAATGTTGGAAGCAAATTCAAGCGGAAGATGGAGAATTCATATGGAATGGTGTTAGGGGAATAATGCACGAGCGCCACTGTTTGCGACATCCAGCCATATCGCTCAGTGTATCTAACCATTGGTGACCATCATCAGGAGGTCCCCAGCAAGGGAGTCTAACAGGGCCTATGTGACCTAGCCTCTTGGTTAGAGTTTCCATATCATATCACCGCGGATCGTAGTGTTCTACTCTATGGTTGGTAGACCTGGCCTTTTCGAGCGCACGATGCCAATCGACTTTCCGTATTTAATCACCGATGCCTCCGAAGCACTGCCCATATATGATGGGAACATCGAGTGATCAATGACGAGGTTCTTTGTCGTGTGTTGGGTGTGGATAGTCAGTCTTTAAAAGTAGTAATCGTTTTACAATGACTTCGATGGCTTTGCCAAGTTTTGCGTATGTCTGCCTATTGTCTACCTTTTCGTGTTCCCTTTGAGCGTGCCGGGAAAGGCTGGAAGAAACATCACGATGGTCAGAACATGATCTGGCGTGGAGGTATGAAGAAACTAGCTCCAGCTTTGACTTCGGTTGGTACAGCCCGTCTTCCAGGTTGGGATCAAAGAGATAAGGATTGTCTTTGGTTAGATACGCTAATGGATATGGCTCGGAATAGAATCCAGTAGCCCGCATGTGTGATCTACCTGTTGAAATTCGGTGACCCGTAAAATATGATTAAATAACACATTAATATCCGAAAGTGCACGGTGAAACACAAAACATTATCCATTTCAACTGTTTAACCTCCATTCACTGTGTTTAATGTCCCGATTTTCCCATGCGCTTTTATTGTTATTAGTGCCGTGGCGTGGGCACCATACTTTTCCGCAAGCCGGTAATATATACGTAAACGGCGAAGGATAGGTGTGACGCAAGAATTTCGCAGCGTCAAATGTCACCCACCAAGTCAGTATGAACGTCCGTGATAAGCAGATGATTCTTGTTTAGGGACTAGTTTATCTTATCAAGACCTAGGGTCAGAACGCAGGTTAGGCTCAAAACATCTCAGTATCAAATCGCCGAAGGATTGCCCACAACTTACTTCAATCTGTGGACCAGTCGCGAGCAGTTGGAAGCCTTCCTGGGCTTCCAAAGTCTTCTCGACTGGATCGTCTGTCAAACATAGACAGCGTAGTTGTGCTTCTTCCTGGTGGTGTCGACGTCCGTAGACAATAAATCGACCAATATAGGGAACAGACATCGATTCATGATAGACACGACTGGCCAGTTCAACCACTTCGGTAACATGAGGACAATCCACAAGCCACAATCTACAACGGAGAGAGCGTACAGATGTTGTCAATTACGTCCATATCACTATACATAGTGAATGAAAAACAGGGAAGTTCAATTGTAACGTAAGACCGGGTGAGGTAAACGTGAGCTATTTTTCCCGTTCCGGTCAGCAATTCCATGAACACTAGTAAACAATGTGGGAATCAGAAATTAAAGTGCAAATAAAAACGGTAAATAAGGTAGGTATTGAAAGAAACTAACGTACTAAAACAATGCTTCGCGTTAGCTACAGCAGCCGTTAACTCGAAGATCGCACCTAACGGATCTCATTTTCCTTCATCCAACTTTACTTTATTATTATGGCCGACTCCCCAGAGAGGATAATCCGGCTTCAATCCAAAAAAATGAGTTGACATTTCTCGGAAGCACTGCGGCACATTGGTACCAGTACAAGTAAAGATCGACCCCTCAAACCGGCAAAAATACTATTAGATTGAGACAGCACAATAATGCATGTGGACCGGGAAACGATTTTGAAGATTGAAAGATCGAATTCCGGATGCATATAGCAGATTTGTTCGTGACTGGATCACCGAACACAAAATTCGGATTTCACAATGCGAGCGGAACACCAGATCCAACAACATGCATCAAGAATCGATCCATCAACTAACAGACGAGGTTCGACGTACAGGTTGCGCCGCATCAGATAGGACAACGAGAATGAATGACGGTGTAGCTGGAGAGGGGGAACACGGAGCAAACATTTTGATGCAACAATCCTTGTGGTTGTTTTGATTTATTTCCTTGAATAAGACAGGTCAAGTGGGGGAAACCGGATAGGATTTCGGTGAAAAAATACGGAGCAAATCTGTAAAAGACTACCTCGTCAGGAGAATTCCCGTAACCATACAAGCGATGCTTCATTTAGATACAGGTGTGAACCCAGTGTTGACAAATCGTTACTAACAAGAGCGCCTCCTAAAGCCTCAGTATGGTCGAGAGTGGGTATCTAGGGTTGCGGCTAATCACTCTTCCCTTGCACCTTGCGAAATACTGCCGTACGACTAGGCGTCTTAAATAGCCTCTGCTGAAGAAGCCCTGCTCACTAAGTTCTCGTGACCGAGGTGTTTTCCCACCAAAGAGGGAGGACGAAAAGCTGACATCCGGGGATATAACCGGGTTGGTGGACAATCGGTAGTTCACCTAGGGGAGTTGGCCAAAAACCCTGATTCCAAACCAACCACGAGGAGACGTACGAACCACACACCTTCCCAATTGTAGCAGTCGACACCGGTTCGATTGAACATAGAAGTGTACTGGGCACCTTGGACGTTTGAGCCCGTCCAAAAGGCGTATGATCCGATGAACTGGACCTCGGCTCCCAATGGACTCCAGTTTTCACACACTGGCTCGCTGCCTTGCGGGTCAGGCTCTGGCTAGCCAAAGGCTCCGGTTGTGAATTCCTCAAGAAAATTCACCTGTTTTGGTCTGGTCATCCTGGCAGAATCCCGCCCACATGCAAATCATGGAATATCTTACTGTTTAATAAAGATTATTGTACCGCGTTTTGTTTGGCACACAGTCTGGATTCAGACGTGTGATATATATATATATATATATATATATAAAACAAAGTAGAGTGATTGTTTTCTTCTGACTTTCAGTTTCCATAACGAGCGCGACGGCCACATTTTCACGTTCTTCATCAAATACCATAAAAAATGGATTGTGATTGAATTTTCCACTTCTAAAATTCCAGGTTGCAGTAGGTTACATTCCTATCATTATCTCGCTAACCATTGCGGGGTTCTCCGCTCCAGATCCTCGGATTTGGGTTTCCGATTAGCGGAAGTGACCAGAGAGGTCCTCCTGACTAAGGGGATTCATTCGTTCTATAATTCGTCACACAAGAGCATGATCCACTGCTCCAGGCTGTAAGACTATGATAAAAACGTTAATCACGGCCGATAGGTAGGTTTGCATGAATGCTGGATACACGGCTTTTACAAGCATGCAGCAGCAAAAAGTCGATTTGAGATGAAACGGAATCGCATTCACCCTTCCCCATGATCACATCATGATGCCATTCAGATGCACGAACCCAGAAACGTACCTGGCAGATACAGTCGTAGTGAACGACACGGCATCATTGTGTGCGGAAAGCGGTGAACTGCCAGTGATATCCTCCCACACGGTCGGTGAAGTACCGCCACTGATTGAACAAAGCAAACGCAGACTGGGTGATCCAATCAACGAGCGTGATGCATTATCACTACTGGCTCCGCCGGTACCGCTTGCACCCACCGAGCTTTTTGGCAATGGCATCGTGATGACAATCGGCTTGTGAAATTTGCGACGTCTCGGTTCAATGGTGACAATCGGGGAGACAGAGACGCGTGCGCCCAAAAGACGTGAGACCAATTCCTGTTCGATACAATGCACTTGCAGTCCGACACGAATCTTTTTGTGCAACGCACCCTGGGGGAATTGGACTTGCACACTGGGCACAACCGCGGATGTTAGTTGTCCACCTTCGGGACCGATGAGAATGAGTTCTTGACGTACACGAGTGACCAAAGCAAAGTATTGGGGTAGATCGTAGGTGAGAATGCGATGTACAGCACGCTGACGTAGCTCATCCATGGTTCCAACCGAATCTGAGAAGGATGGTGAGGACGGAAAGAAAAACAGTGCAAAGAAGTGTTACAGAACCGATGAAGAGGGACTCTACAACAAATGGTTGATGGAGTGGTGTATCGGATTGAAATAAAATTTGTGGCCATTTAAATCATATATATATATATATATATATATATATATATAGAACATAAACAGGTGGAGCTACTGGAAACGACAATGCACAAGTCAAACGGAACGAATATTTTCTTCAGAACGCGTTGACCTTATGCAAATTTAACAAACGGATAGTTCATGTCGAACACGATGAATTTGGGCCCAGGAAAGACAAATTGGACTCAGTAGCAGCATTTTGTACACACGGTGTTTGTTCCTGCGAAAGCAAATCGAACTGAGTGATGTTTTTTCACCTGGGTTGGGTTGAGGTCTGACAATCAATAAATTGTACCGTAAACTGCTATTTGTCAAGTATGTGAACTAGAACCAAATCCATCTTGATAACGATTCGCGCACGCGCTCTCTCTCTCAAAAGCGTCGCACAGAAATGCATGCTTAATGGTTATTTAAACTGAAAACTCCCTTTTCGGCGACAGAATGTTTTTAAAAAAACTATACTGACCGGAGGGGATTTTCAACCGTAATGTGAATGTCACCGATGGTGATTTATGATTAGTGAGGTCACAGAAAAAGAAAAAAAATTGGTCCAGGAAAACGATGCCGAACGGAACATACCAGCACAATCTGTGAGGATAACAAACTGTAATCAGACCGGAGTATTCTGCGAATAATTAGCTTCGAACCAGAAGGTGGATTTTGTGCTCCGTAATATTATCCATGAAACTGATCACATGTCACATGATAATTTCATTTTCATTTAAGAACACCACCACCCGATTGGAAAACGGAGCTAGTCGCATTAACACACTACAAACGAAAATAGTAAGGCACTTGTCGGCCAAACATGGAACAAGACTGAGTCCGAATGATTAGATGGATATCGTTTGTCGTCCAAATCGAGCACAACAATTTCTCGAGCATCGGTCCTCCAGGGATCAAGATTTTGCAGTCAACTCTTCGTGGACAAAATGTCGTTCAGTTATATCCCCATCGCTTTGTAGAGCATTGACACCTTCCGAGTAGGTAAAACCATGGAGAATCTATCGGAACAGAAACCCCTAACATGAAAAACAACTTCACCAAAAGTAAAAACGAAAGATGCATGTACTTGTAGCATACCATGAAGTTACCTTAACGCTGGAAATACCCAGCTCGGGTTGATGTGCGTGATTAGGGAGGCGATTTGTGATTGATCTGTAAATTTGAGTGATATCCGATGCTATTACTGTTCTTAAGAGTAAAACCCACAAACGTTTATAAATTGTCCTTCCCGTACTCATTAATTTTCTAAAATGTTATGTTTCCGATCTTCAGTTAGTGATCACCAAGTTCCCGCGTGGTCGGCGACGGGAAATTCTAGATGTATGAGGGTTCCAAACGTAGCCCTTTTGAATCAAAAGCATCCCAAAACGCTACAACGGAGAATAATAACAAGAAAAGCGAGAAAAACAATAGAGCCACATACCGAAATAGCCATCGATCGAGTCCTGTACGGTCTGATCGTTTGCATCCAGAGGGTGCTCTTTCCACGTCTCACCGTTGTCCGATCGGAGAACAATGATTTCCCGATTTTTATTCGCCAGAAAAGCGTAGTGTGGAATTTCCAACACAATCGGTGAACTAAATCGGGTACCGACCGGACCTAATTCTAACATGCTATAGGCACAAAACAAATGCGAACAATAGAATGACAAATGCATAAAATGAGACACGCAAACGCCGATCACGATTGATATTTCATTATCATCGGTCAAAAGTAGAATACGTGTGATATGCTGATGATTCACAAATGGTAACTTGATCCTCAAGAATTCTATCTTCTGTGTTGAAAAGCGAACAGAAGTAGAGAGTACACAAGTACACCACCAATCAATGTGTACATCCCCTAACAGAGCAGGAGACTCCGATTGCCGTCATCAAAATCATCACATGAGGTACCTGAACAGTGGACATTATCTGTGTAAGTGCAATTTTCACGCTGAGCTCAAGCGAAACCGGCATGAACCACGAAAGTTCGACTTTCAACCGTCAACACATTGATAAACCGTGATTAATAATAACATTGTACCGATTGCTGAAGGTTAGAGTTCGTGTTCAAACGCTTACGCAGCTTCGTGAGAATAAATTTAACTTTTACTGTCTTACAAAAACCGAGGGCTGTGCACAAATAAGTTAGTTAACCGGTACTTGTGCATATCCAACAGCGCTAGTCTCGTTTTGGAAACCACTAACGGTGTACATCAGTGCTCCGCGCTTGATTCCCATTTTCTGTTTAATCATCCGATCAAATAATAAAAAGAATGGAGTGTCGTCGTTACCAGGATCAATGTGTATGATGTGAAACGAATCACTTTGCTGAACGGGATCAATATTGTTAGACAGCCAGACCCGGCTAAAACACATTAGGCATTGCTGTGATGCAATACACATGCAAAGATCTTACAAAACTATTACATGCTCGGGAAAAGAACACGTTATGGGTATGCGTGTTAGTCCGGGAGATTAATTTGAACCGAAGGGAAAGTGAGTGCGTACACTAGTGTGATACATGATTACATCATCAACGGATCACGTCATTAAGGCACTGAATCAGTAATGAAATTATGCAACAGGTTTACACCAAACCATATAAAGCTTCGGAACGGGTTATACTAGCCATGAAGAGTTGATTATTGATAAATGTGTGCGAAATGCTGGTGGTTACCGGATCGAATGAATGAGATAGATCAAAGCATATCTAGTCAGTTACACAAACGTACGCACAATGTTAAAAATTCAGCGGATTGCGAGCTAGTGTGTGATTGGGTTTAGCAATGCATCAGCAGATTAGGACAACAGAAACTGTTAAGCAATGCGGAATATCAAGTTAGTGTGCATAAATGTGTCACGAAAACAAAACCAACGAGCAGCTAACTGTTCCTAGAGTAAACGATGCACAAACCAATGTACAATGGCTACTTATTTTTTTCGTCAGAACTTCAACCTCTGGTGCTAGAGCTCGATTGGCGGTAAACAAACGAAAAAAGATGTGGCACATTCAACGATGGTACACGCAAAGCTATCAATGCCCTCTTTTTCTTCTTGGTGTCTTGGAGATCGAAACACCCATAGTGGTAAGATGAAGTACAACTAAACCAAACGGATTTTTGTTATGATTTCCCTAAACTGATTTATCCTAGAAAAGGTACAGCGGAGTGAGAGTGCGAAGTCCTATCAATCCCACGTCGGATGATGTGGTTGGAATGATACAAATACCATGATTCCCACCACGACCCGAGTACTAAAAACGGACAAGGTATCCATGATTGATGAAAACTGACAAGCAAGAGGGATCCAGGTGAGCGGAAAGCTATCGCCCAACGTACTGTTGGTGGACAGACGGTAATCGATGAGAAAAGTTGAAGTTAGATAGCCGTTATGATTTTTCCAAATATTGGCACAACTTGCGCACAGCACCTGAGAATCGCGGATTCAGGTGGTTTGCCGGTGGGTCTTTTGTGGATATTTCTTATCGCAGGGAACAGTGCTCAAATCCCCATGACTAACTTATATTAGCGCTCCTCACTACTTCTTGCTGCCCTACGGTTTTTTCTACAGAACAACACTTCCATAGGATTATAAATTTAACAAGATCATAGCATTTATATCGAAATATTCCGTTACTGGATGGGCCTGTATGCAAGTCAGATTGAAACCCAAAGGAAAACATTGGGGGTAGCAATCAAAGGACTTGAACACGAGAATGGAGATCAGGTGAAGAACTGAAGCACTTTTCATCGCATGGTTCATGTGCCACGGAAGAAACTTGACTCCAATTCCATATAAATGGCATGTATGTAGACTCTGCGTATTTGTGTTGAAGCGGAAAGAATAACGTACACAATCACTAGAAAAACTTTCATTAAGAAGCACCTTTAGGCGGTCATTATTTCAGTTTCAACACCTTCAGATTTTGGGTTGCATTCCAGGTTTATTGAGCAGGAATACGTAAATCTGCGGTCTTCTACTGGTAGTCACATCGTGGTGTGTGAGATAAATTTTTAAAAAATGAAAGCAAACCAGTCCAAGAAGTCAAACAAAAACTGGTTTATAACACTACACCATTGTGCCGGTACACCAGAAAAGATAAACAATGGAGTTTTGTCTTTTGTACTGCTATCCGACAGATGAGAGGTTCCGGGGTGGGGTGGGGGCTTGATTCGGTTGTTTGATTTCTATCTATCTGTGCCTTGGCCATTCAAAGACAACAGTATTAGGTGAAGAGGCGCCTTTTAAACGAAACCTTAGCTCAAAAGCGTTCGGGGCCATTCATTCGTGATGGGTTATTTGTCATACGGTACAATTTCACTAAATCATCGAATACTCTGTGTCTAATCTTTGTGAGAGTCCAATCAGATCTTATGTTTCCCTTTGACTGATGCAATTTTTTCTGTTCCAACTCACTCCTTTTGTTACATGCTATTGGGAACTGTTATTTTTGGATGTAGACGCACAGTACTTTTCTCCCATGTGTACATCCTCCAGCGGTTCAGCATCACGGTACATAATCTAACCCCAATCCAGATAGTTAGGTAGTTGGGTTGGACAATGCCAACCATCACTACCCTTAACTATACACTGTGTACAAGAGAAAGAGAGAGACTGTGTGCGATTTCACCGGATCAGACCAGTGTTGACTGTGCTCGTGGATGCAACCAGTAAAACAATCGGGTGGGATCGGTTGACAAGGTTGGAGAAACTACAATGGCACATTGAGAATAGTGCGTTTGAGTAAATGATGTGCGTGTCTGTAGGTAGGGGGGAGGGCTTTAGTATGGTTCACGGTGATAGGAAAAACCGAAGCATTAGTTCGGTGTTGCGTTCACGAGGATATTGAAAAGATAGGATGCAGATAGACATGCTACAAGGCAAACAACAGGCATGGATATCTGATAGCTGCCTTTACCGATATCGAAAGTCCATCATACCAGAAAAAAATCTCGTGTCTTGGCGATATCGGAGCCAGTGGATAAGATCATGTCAAAGACTGTGTCTCCTGCATTATTCAGAAGCACAAAAAATCTTGGTTGCACAATTTTTGCCAAGGCAGATTTCGCTGCATCGAAACTGGAAGAATACGGCAGAGAACTACCGGTTATATCGTCGAATAGAGTACATCATGTGACACATGTGTGCAACCTGATGTACGCTTCAACGNACAAAGCATTGCTTTTCGTCGAAGTGGTCGCAAAACGATGTTCGAAAAACAACGGGTTCGTAAGTCTTCAAAAGAACTTACAGTAATTAACTGTCATACAGATCAATGGTAGTACATATACACTCTCAGTTAGAAAAGTGCATATTTTTCTCTCCTGATACCCTATTATTTCTTCAGTCAATTGCGGAATCATTCATGTTCGTAACAATCTGCTCAGCCAAAAAACAGCGTATTCCTCCGCTACCCGTCGGAAGGGTTTCGTAGTCAAACTGAAATCAGCTGATTAAACGGAAAATTGAAATGTTTGACTTCGTGCTTTCCATGTTAGTCTTAACAACAGCGAGGTGTCAAAGCTGAACGAGGTCGATACTGCGGCACACCCAGCTACTTCGAAGAGCTTGTTCCTTCTGTGCTCCAATGGGGGAATTATCCGAACTCAGAAAAAAAACTGTACTTGATGAGTGGGCTCAAGCAATCATGCACGCAGTTTTATTGCCTCGGACAATTGGATTTCGCAGAAAACATAGAAAAAGGATATCCCTATGGTTAACCTATAGGTATTTTATTGTTTGCGGGGATGCTAACGCTGCGTAGGAGTGAAGCAATAAAAAAATGATCTAGGTCTGGTAAACAGATATTCATGGGAGGAATATTCAACGTCGAGTATCGGAAAGTGATTCAAATCGGGCGATTATTTCGAGGGCCTTCTCGATTGCGTGAGAAGACTGTGGCGTGGGCGAAGACAATATGTTTATTAAATCGCACTTCTAAATCAGTTTTTCAAACAATTCGTGACTGTTAGAAACATCTAAATTTATGTTGGATAAAGTTACTATTGCCGGTAACGGTTCTAAGTACACAGCTCATGATAACTTCGATCGTTGGTATCCCAACGATCCACATCGGAATATATAACTCCTTTCGTCGAGTGGAAAACATACAACATGAGTCCATTTTTCGGTGATGCGAGTACAGCCCGAATTACTTAGATCACATATTGAAGACATAGTGTTAAGTATACACAACGTATTAGAAACGGACAGCAAGAGAGATCGAAAAGAGATATTCGGGATTACAAAGCTCGCTAATTCGAGCTGTGTCCTATCGGTTTATTGTACAAAATAATGGACGCTGGATACCCAATAAGTTGCAGTACCAATGTGCTATATGCCACATATAAAAGAATGATACCAATCCGACAGGCTGTTTGAATTCGGTGATTACAAGAGCAGCAACTTAGTCATGGGTTTTTAAGTAAGCATCACGTTAAAGGAGAGTAAACGAGGACGGATAGGATGAACATATCGATAGGATACCTGCGGTTTTCGGCTGATGTGATGATGACCATCGAAAGAGAAATGGGGACGCCTCGGTATTCAGAGAGAAGAGTGAACGGGGTTACGCAGTCGACCCCACCGCAAACAATCATTCGTGAATTATCGATGAGCAATCAAACAGTTGTTGGTCCTCATACAACACACCTCTCCGGCTTAGATATATAAAGTAGGGGGGGGGGACCAGATATAGATCAGATTGAGCAAGGAAAGTTTTTTTTCACGTCGTCAAAATCCAATCGAGTTTTGATAGCGTACAACGCGCTGAGCACTACACACACAGTTCATGATCTCGAACACTGTTCGGAAAAATTATTACTCCAAGGCCATGCAAACCAAGCCCGGGAAGTCTGGGTCGATAATAACCGGTGACATTTTCCGCTGTGTGAAACGAAAATAACCTTCACTGAATCCGTAATATCAAGGTGGGTCTTGTTTTGCGTAGGCCGGTAAACGGACAGACAGAATGGAGAGAAAAAACAGCGTATCTATCAGACAGACAGGTACGCAGGCAAGCAGGCATCGTGTAAGCTAGTGAAATAGCAGAGACCAAAGTTGAATCCCCCACCAACCCTTCAAGTACCGTGACTTGGACCCATTTGGCCTGGTGAGGAGGGAAAAACAACAACAGCAGTAGGCGCCATCGAAAGCAAACAGATATGCGCTTATGACATAACTAGAGGTGCAATTAGGCAGGGGTGCCGCTCAACAATATGAATTGCCGTCAGGAGATGGTGAAGTAAAAAAGAGAACATCACGCTGAGATTTGTGACGACGAAGTAGAATTGAACAGATTTTCACAAATTAAAACACTGATAGTAGTTTTGGCTAAATGGTCACACCCTTTAAAAACCACGCGGTTTCCCTGAACAACGCTGAATAGTAACTAAAGGAGTTGGTGTACTCCCCACTGATTTCAGTGGTGATTATTATCACTACGGTGGAAAATATCCGAATCGATGAGGTGTGGCAAAGCCAGTGCTGCTCTGCAGTTCGCACTTGACTGGGAAACGGCTGGAGATGCGCCCGCGAAATGTAAAAGTCGAGTGACGCTGGCAACGTTTCTTCGGTCAAAGTTCAACGAGACTTCATGATCACTTTGTCCACACGCTCTGCATTACATGCAGTGGTGTAGTCAGTTAAGTAACGCGCTCTGCACTCTTTCGGTGGTCAGGGTGCCAAACACGCGAAGTGGACCTCTTAAACTCTGAAAACACTACGTGAGAACTATTTTTGGACGTCTGAGGTTACGCAGCGATTCTGTACAACCACGCTGTGAATATTGCTTGCTCATTCGAATTCCGGTTGGTCAGCCCCGATTCGCTTTGCAGTACACACACTATTGCGGGATAAACAACAGTTCGGAGCAAAAACCAGAATCAACAGGACTTACTGATTCCACACGGGAACCGGTGCCCTAAGTCCTGAGACTATGAGTGGTGAACCACATAAAGACACCGTGATTATCGCTTGATTCAGCCATGAAGCTGTTATCTCGGCTGACTGGTGCTATATATATATATATATATATATATATATATATATATAATCATCGGTACCTACGAGTTATT